GCCCGGCCAAGGTCGTCGTCGTCGTCGCCGTCATCGCAGCCGCCGTCGCCGTCGTCGTTCCGCCTTCCACCTCCTCCTGTCTCCTCCTGCCTCCTCCTGCCTCCTCCTGCCTCCTCCTGTCTCCTACTGCCTCCTCCTACCTTCTCTAGCCCCTTCCTCCTCCTCCTCCTCCTCGACGTCGCCCTCGCCCTCGCCCTCGTCCCGGTCCTCCTGCTCCTCCACCCTCGTACATCCTTCCTCTCTCCGACGGAAGCGACGACGTCAGCCGACACCCGAACCTGTCCTGGGGATCCTCTAGTCAGAATTCTGAGGCGGACCCAGCCGTCGCCACGAGGGAGCCCCCAGAGACCCGAATTGGGCCGCGAACCTCGACAAAGACGACAACGACGACGAACTCGACGGCGACGACCAGGAAGACGACGACGACGACGACGACGACGACGACGACGACGACGACGACGACGACGACGACGACGACGGCGGCGGCGGCGGCGGCGGCGGCGGCGGCGGCGGCGGCGGCGAAGTCGACGAATACGGAGACCACGACCACGACAGCTACCACCACCACCACCACGACAAGGATTCACGACGACGCTCACCAAAACGACCACCACGACGACGGCCACCAAAATGACCACAACGACGACGGCCACCAGAACGACCACGACAACCACGTCGACGACGACCACGACGACCACCACCACCACCACGACGCCCCCTCCTGCGCGGCCGGACCGCACCAGGCGCAACCAAGCAGCACCGCCCACAGCAGGCGCATCGCAGCAGGCCCCGACCCGGGAGAGGGAGGGAGGGAGGGAGGGGGGGATGGATGGAGGGAGGAATGGAGGGATGGAAGGAGGAATGAAGGGAGAGAGGTGAGGAAGAGGAAGTTGGGGGGGAAGCGGAAGAGGGGAGGAAGGGGGGAGGGGTGGGGAAGGAGATTGTGGGGGGGACCAAGGAAGGGATAAGGGAGGGAGTGGAAGAGGAGGAAGAAGAGGAGGAGGAGGAGGAGGACGAGGATCGGCCATACGGGACGCAATGTCCCATCGAGGCGCCTACAAATCGGAATCAGGAGACTGACTTCCTCGGACACCATTGGCCTGGAGTATGTTCACTGCATTGGTGATTTTCTTCCCGAGGTCTTCTTTGAAGAGGCGCACTTCTGCGTAAGCCCAGTGAGCCTGGAGGTGGCTGTGCTTCCGCATACACTGCGGAATAGCATCAAGAACCGAAGCCGGGAGAAAAAAACAGATATCCTGGCGAAGAACCCAACCATATGCAGATGTGACTGCCGCAGGCATGTCGGAAGAAGGGGGGGTCCCTTTGGGGCCACGAAACGTGCGAGGGATGGGCCAATATGGGGCGACGGCGCCATGCGGGCGCTGCCATTTGTGCCTTCGGTGGGGCTCCCTGTGGGGCCACGAAGCGTGCGAGGGGTGTACCAAAATGGGGCGGTGGCGCCACGCGGGCGCTACCATTGGGGTCTTCGGTGGGGTTCCCTGTGGGGCCACGAAACATGCGACGGGTGTCAAAATTGGGCGGCGGCGCCCTGCAAGGTTGCCTTCCGAGCCTCCCGTGGAGCGCCGCATGGGGCCACGAAGCGTGCGAGGGACGTGCCAAAAATGGGGCGGGGGCGCCATGCGGGCGCTGCCATGTGTGCCTTCGGTGGCCTCCCGATGGGGCCGCGAAACGTGTGAGGGGTGTGCCAAAATGGAGCGGCGGCGCCATGCGGGCGCTGTCGCTGGGGCCTGCGGTGGAACGCCCTATGGGGCCACGAAACGTGTGCCGACAGGCGTGGCACACGCCCAATTGGAACGAGAAGAAGAACGAGTAGTGGGAGTGGTAGGAGGATGAGAGGAAAGAGGGTGAGGGGGAGGGAGCGTCGTTGTCCAACGTCGGATGAAACGTCTCGCTGTTCTTCGCAGGGGAGGGCTTGAAAGGAAGAGGGAGACGGGAGGAGTGAGGAAGTGGGGGGGGGACGCAGAAAGAGGGAGGGAAAAAGGGAGGAAGGGGCGAAGGGAGGTGACGGGAGTGGGAGACGGGAGGAAAGAAGAGAGGGAGCAAGGAAGGAGGGAGGGAGGGGGGGGGGGGGGGGGGGGCCGCGGCGGCGGGCCGCGGCGGCTCGGCGCGAGGCGTGTGGCGGGAGGTGCGGCGGAGCGGAGGGGACTGGGCGAGCGGGCCTGGCGGGCGGGTCAGGCGAGGGGGGGCTGGGGCGCGCGGCGGGCGCCACAGGCTCCCGTGTGCCGCTGGTTGCAAGATGACGTATCCCCCTTCGCCTCGCTTCGCGTCGACTGCTGCAACGAGCAGGTACCAACGCAGATGGGACGGCCCGAAAAACTTGGGGGAAGAACAAGCGCTATGAACATGAACTGTCAGAGGGCTGCGCGGATTTCTGGGATCGGCGCTGGAGCACCTGCCCTGGCGCGCGGGAACGCGCCCAGGGCGGCGCTAGAGGCACCGCGGGGGGGGGGGCCAAGCGCCGTACTCAGAATACGATTCTCTTTCAAACACCAGCATGGTCATCATCATCATCGTGCCCCCGTCCTTTCCCAATCCCCCACGTTTCGTCTGGCCCAGCCGCTGGCAGCAGACGACGGCAGACGGGGGCAGCACGGCAGGATCCCAAGGCGTGGGACCTCCTCCTCCTCCTCCTCCTCCTCCCCCTCCTCCTCCTCCTCCTCCTCCTCCTCCTCCTCCTCCTCCTCCTCCTCCTCCCTCTCCTCCTCCTCCTCCTCCCCTCCCCCTCCCCCTCCCCCTCCCCCTCCCCCTCCCCCTCCCCCATCCCCCTCCTCCTCCTCGGGGGCCCCCGGCATGGAGGAGCCGCGCCCGCGGCGCGGCACGGAGTTGCCCGCGGGTCCAGGACCGGCCCGCGGGCACCTCCAGGGCGGGCGGCCACGGGCGGGGGGCCGGGGGCAAGGAAAAACGCTTGGAGGCCTGGAAATTGGCACCAACACCAACACAGGGGGTTGCCTCCACAGGGGGGAGAAGATCCGAGATTTCGGTGTTGGTGGTAATATTTCGGCCACCTTGGAAGCCAGAATATTGCCACCATAACCGAGATCGGGATCGTCTTCCCTCGGTGGAGGCACACCGCACACCGCCAATCTTGGTGTTGGTGTCAACCTCTAGGCCTGCGGGACTGGGGGCAAAGAGAAACGCGCAGCCGTCCACCAGCACTTTGTGGGGCCGCAGTGGCGGCGCAGGGACCGTTGGGGCCCTCCAAGGCCGCTTTCCTGAAGCCCGCTTATCGCCCCCCGTTTTGCTGCCCCATTGTTGACATCCACCCGTATTCGGACTCGTCCAAAGAGGGGGGGAGTCCAAGAGGGAGGTTCGTAAATCATGGCCCGAGGCACGGCGCGGCCCAGGGGGGGCTGGCCAGGGGACGCATTGAAGAAGAAAAAGCGCCATGATATCCTAAACCACCAGGCACCACCCCCCCTCATGTTGGCGGCGCGCACAAGGGGGCAGGGGGAGGGGGAAAGCTTCTTGAAAAGAGGCTGCTTATTGGAAGGCGCTGGCCTTACATCGACAAACAAGTCCCGCGCCTTCTTGGAAGCAACCTCCTTCTAAGAGGCCAACCCCACCCCCCCATATGCCTTCGGAAGCAACTACAGGGAGGAGGTCCTCGTCGGAAGGATTAAAGAGGATTAAGCCCCGTTGGGGGGCTATTACGCCGGAGTGGGCCTCGGATTAAGCGGGATTAAGCCGGATTTAGCGGGATGAAGCGGGGTTAAGCCAGATTCAGCGGGATGAAGCGGGATTCAGCAGGAGGAAGCCGGATTTCGGTCCACGGCGAAATCAGAACTTGATCTCCCAAGAGTTTGCATCCGAAGACACCCCTCCGTTCCCGCGCTCGGGCGGCGCACGGGCCTCCCTGGCGGAGCAGCGCGCGGAGGCGCGCACGCCGCCCGTCGGGCCCCGATGCTGCACCGGACTCGGGCAGATCAGACGAGGCCCCGTGTCCAGAATTCGGCGATGACCTGGGTTAGCCAATGGGCAGGCGATCGAAATGAATCGGATCGGCGGAAACCGGCAGCCGAGTCGGGAGAAGTCGAGTCGGCAGAAATCGGCAGGCTCGTATGCCTCCAATAAGAAATCGGATCCCAAAACGGAATCCCAAATCGAATCGAATCGGAATCGCAAGCAACCGAAATCGAATCGAACCGGATCGAAGGAATCGGAACGAGCCCTGAGTGGGGGGGACGCCAGTGAAAGAGGACGAGGAGGAGGACGAGGGGGAGTACGAGGAGGACGGGGGGAGGCCACCGATTCAAGAGGCAGAGGAGGAAAACGACGGGGTCCTCCTCCCCTCGCCCCGCCCAGCCTCAGGGCAGTCCCCGCCCCTCCCCCCCCTCTGGCTGGGGGCCCCGACCGCCCAAGAGACCGTCTTTGTTTTTCCGCTATAACTTGGGTTACCCAATTGCAAGGGACGTGCCGGCCGATAACCCAACACGTTCGCTTTGGACAGCCCCACCTATGCCCACGCGCACCAGTACTGTGTACCCTTCGGGCCTGCGCAACCGACAAGATCAGGTTGAAGCTCCTTTCTCTCAAACCACATAAAGCGAATTATGTGGCTGGGTGGGTGGGTGGGTTCGCTGGCACATAACAGGACACAGTCGTGCACGGCCGCTTGAAGGTTTTTTTTCTTAAGAAGGTTGCCCCTGTTGCTATTGTTGATACAGATGTAGCGGAAGGGCCAAGCAGCTGCGACCGCCACAAGGCGCGCTGACACCGCAATGCCCGCTCTCACCACACATGGTGATGCAGCAACCTACGCATACACCACATCGCATGTGCACGTCACAACGCACGGGTGGATGGCAGTGTTCTTGTGCACACCACGACGCCTGTGCACACAAGTGTGAACGCGTACATCACAACGTCTATGCACAACAAAACTGCGGCCACACAAGCACGGTCACCACAACGCCTATGCACAACACAACTGCGGCCACACAAGCACGTTCCGCGTGCACCAT